ATATATATGAGAGGTGCTGCACAAGCAAATTGTATATAATATAATAATAAAACACGTAGATGACAGTAGATTTCCCTAAATTTTTTTGCGAAAAGAAACAGGAGATTTCTGGCCTCATTTCCAAGTCAAACCTATACGTGTAATGCATGAGTATATACAATTACTATGAAACGTAGCGTAAGAGGAAACTGACCGAGAATAAAATAAACAATTCAACCGCACCGGATGTATCAATTTGTCCTCAGATACATAAATTGGTCTACAGTATTTGTATATACAAAATGGAACTGCATATGTCAAATCAATCTTTGAATATATATATTTAACAAAATATATGATAATTTTAAATTTGCCACAAAATGCATTAAAATCAGACTTCGGTATTGCGTATTGTAGTTACATTTGCAAATACATTACCCTTTAGTAGATGAATGGATTTATTTGGTGTAAACACCAATGATAACCCACGGAAGTCTAAAGAAAACTTATTTCCATTGGGGTCCTTCTGGTGGTGATTGGGCAGTACAACAGAGAGACGATCACCTACTCTTTTCCGAAGAGTGTACAGTACTGCGTTTTTTAACGTGCACATGGGCCATAAATCACACGGGACCAACAGCTTAAACGTCTCATCCGAAAGACGGTGCGCTATTTAACTTGAATTTCAGCCTTCCAGCTGAAATACAAGGAGAGCAGCGATGGGAATTGAACCGAGGATATCTCCACGGTTCAGCGCACACGGTGCAGTGACTACCTCCAGTTTAGCCGACTGAGATAAGCTGCTCAGCTGGTATTTTATATTCGTAGGCCTACATTAGGATTTGTTGTAATTACTATATTATCAATAATAGGCCCAATAGTTGTGTATTCTTGCCTAAGACAAGGCTGAACTTATATAAAAGTAGTGAGCTACATAGTACTTTAACTCTGACTATACACAATATGTACCCGTGATATAAGTCTGACTATAGGCTTATGCACGATATTATACATATATATTTATGTAGAGATACATAAATAATACGTGATATACTATATAGGCCTATAAATGATTGTATGGAGAAAGATGATACATGGTTTTCCGAATCTTTCCTTTTCCGCTGTTTATTTTCTTAAATGCTTTGAGCATTTCTTTAAAATGGATATGAGCACTGTGGAAGTCTTATTTATTATTTTTATTATGTAAAAACACCTCCACAGATAATAAAATGGTAATAAATATGCGAGAAAAACGTATTACAATCCATGGACCATTTGTCAATATCCTTTAAAATAGGACTTGCGTTGGAGCAATTTTTCCTGTTGCAGTCACAATTATTAACAACTGTTCATATTGAAGGTTTGCGACAAAGTTTGTGTTGGTACCTAATTCAGCGTGGATACTTGAATGCATTTGCCTAAATAAAACACAATGCAAATAGCACACTTCGCTGAATATATTAACTGCAATAGTTAAGTATACTTAGACCTAATATAAGTTACTGTAACATTCACAGTAAATTTCATACAATTAAAAACATACTTTAAGTTAAATCAATGACGTTATATTGTTCTATGAACCATTATAATACATCTTAGTTTAAGTTAACAAATCGATTTTTTAAAAATATTTTATTATTTATGATCTAAACACATCGCGTTTACGAATAGTGTTTTACTCCATATTTTAGTCATTCATATTCTATTATGAACTAATTTTGTTTTAATTTAAGTCTCATGCGTGGATGAATTAACTGCATAGGCTATAATAATGTAAAGTAAATTGTTAAGATATGTTCATATTGTTCTCTAAGTTTTGTTAACCTGTCCCTTTGGCGCTAGTCCTTTCATCTGCTTTCAACTGTTCGATAGTGATTGCTTCCGGAAAGTCGACGTAGCGGAACTAAGTCAAATGGGCACAGAATGCATACACCGTTTGACAGAGGGTAAAGGAATTCCTTTATAATAAAATCCGAAATCTAATGGTATTTAACGAGATGTTAGCAGAGCGAAAAAGATTCGAATTCTCCGCAATGTCGGCGTTTCTTTTATAGGTCGTTAACTGGACAAATGTAAATTCAGCAAAGGGGACATATCTGACTCAAGCTGTTGCTTGTCCGCTTCCGAATCAAATTTAATTGCTTTCAATAATCATATGACCAAAACCTATACTCCTAAGTTTAATATACTGTACAGCAGTGCATACCAGTTGGCACCACATTGCAAATGGAGTATGAGGTAAAAAAACTGACCTCATTTGCAATTTTACACCATTGAATTAAATACAAATAATGTACAAATAATTATGTTAATATACATTCTCTATATATATTATGTAGGCCTATGTATATAGGTCTACCTATACACTATGCCTGTATATAGGTCTATAATATTATCATTATAATAATAACATTATACAGGATTATAGGCCTATATTATAGGCATGCAAATAATTAGTAAGATTAATGTATTGTTATACTATTTAATATTAAGTTCATTTTCTAATTTCTCTGTTTTAGTTATTTTAAAATTTGTATTATGTTTAATTAGTATTAGTGTACAGTTTATAAGTGACTCCCTGTATTGTATTTAAGTTGAAGGGCCGCCGATTTAAAGGCATATGTTCACAAAGTAAAAATAAAATTATATGTATTTATTATATATAGGCCTATATATATATATTGTATATATATACATAATGCCAGAGGCAACATTGATAATAAAATGTATCATAGGCCTATTCAAAATTTTATTTATACATCGCACACTTATGGAAACAATTCTGTGGTTTATGAAACAGAATAAAACCGATAAATTTTAACCAAATATGAAGGACGATTCGAGAATTTTGTTGAAAATTATTGATGCCATCACGATAGTCTAGTGGGCGGTGTTCTCTTTAGAAAATTACGGTGGCTGCGTCATACAGATTGTAATGTCACGCTAGAGCACCGCTGATTCACTCGCTGATATAAAAAGGTGTACAAAATTGAAGCGGCAGCAGTAAACGTTAAACTCAGCGGAAGTATAGCAGCATACTTCTTTCCGAGCTGAATAAGGCTACAGCACTGTGTCAGGACGCTGGTGAATACTATACAACATTAATACGCTATCACAGTTGTTATAAGTAAAACACCATGCATACAAATAGGAATCATTCGACACAAACGGACTGCTTACTACGAGAAGTCGAACGGAGCGTGATTGGATCTGATACTGTATTTACTAGTCCGTATGGTGAACGAAAAGGTAAAACAATTTAATTTTGCCAGATATTACTAGGCTAATACTCTTTTGGAGAGTAGGACATTCCATGTTGTGTACCGTACAGTTGTAAACAACATAGTGTTCGTTACATACGAAAATGTGTAATGCTATTATAATACGCTAGCACAATATTTAAAAGTAACTAACGAAGGCCTATCATTTTATTTAAAATGTGCTTTAGTGTACCTTGTGAAATTTACATGTTGATTAGAGGCGTACTAATTAGGGTCACTTTTATTTTTGTATTACCATTTAATGTCTTTCTCTCTTAAAACATATTGTAATGAACTGACTCTTAACTTATGAAGATAATGAATAGCACATTTCATATTTTTATGGTAAAGCCTGGACATGCCTATTCGTATTGCGGGATTTTCATGGAAAAATGTGTTAATCTGGACGTGTATTGTAGTAGGGCTGCACTGGTTAAATATATAAATAAGCGTGGGTTGTGAAACGAAGCATTATAAGTTGTTATGCTCGGTTTAATACAAAGTATGCTAGCTAATCTCATTAAACGTTATCATTTGGGTGTATACACCTAATTATGGTAGTTGTTGGCCAAATAATAAATACATAGTCTTTAAAACTATTGTCATATAGAAATGGTCATACTAATTGATTTATGTTGAGTGTAGAACACTTTCTCAGTGTACTACACACTTTTTAAAGTAGATAGACGCTTAACAGGCCTAGTACATGAAAGCCCAATATCAGTTTTCGTTTAATTATCTTTAATTATTCTCTTTTTTTTCGATTCTCAAAACGGGTCCCCAGATGTTATCATTAGTTGTTAGCATATTTGTCCCAGGTACCATCCATGAGAACCAATCAGCTTCCTGTCCGACGGATTGGTCAGACGATGTTTGTATATTATGTACATATCTGTTTGACCTTCTTCTCGCCATTAACTGTTTGCTCTTTCTTTTCATTCTTTCAGTTATTTATTGCGACTATACGGCTTCCGGAAGGTAAGCAAACCAACCTTCACAATTCTTTATAAAAACGCTGAAGGTTTTATTTTGTTTCAAAATGGGCTATGTAATCACTCCACCGTAGACAAACTATTTTTGTTGATAATGAATTGGAGGAGATTGTATATCTGTTCTGAAAATAAAAGTCTGACCAATCGCGTGCTAGCAATTGAAAAAAAGTGCTGTCTAGACGCAGAGCTACTATTCAGTAAGATCAGTACTTGACACGGGAAAAATACCGTCCCTTGTCACCTTACAGAAAAGATTACACAATCCCATGACCTTTTTGTCAACAAAAATCTTGAATAAATTGATCCTAATCTGCGGTGACGTAACCGTCGCAACACCCAGATCCCTGCACACAAGGGAAATGTAACTGATTTTCTCAGACTAGAGATGTTTATCAAATTAGAGGTATACATGCTCCAATTGAACTAAACATCATGAGACAAACCAGCAATACCATTGTTAAATACAACGTAACGTAACATGTAGCTAAATAAACTAGTAACACCACGACGTAACATGTAGGTATATAAACTAGTAACGTTATTACATTTACTAAAAACCAAACTTTATTTCTTTTATTTATTAGAACGAAGTGCAAATCTAATTAACTTTGTTTTTACAGGTCACTAAAATTCATAGAAGATTACATTCAACAAGAGGTTAGTCCACTTTACGGAAACACACACACCACTACCAGCATCACGTCAAGACAGATGACTAAATTCAGACACGAAGCCAAGTAAGCGTAATTTTTATTTTTTTATTTTCCAGCATTTTAGATTATAATCATAATAACCACGGAGAATATGAATGTCAGATATGTTAGTTAACATTCATTTAAACATAAAACATTTCACTTTTGCAGAGAAGTTATTCGGGACTGTGTTAATGCAAGTGATGAAGATGCAGTTATATTCGCTGGTAGTGGGTCTACGGGAGCGATACATAAACTCGTCCACGCCCTGGAGCTCGAAGGTGACAAAGCTCAAAGAACGGCCGTTTTGGTTGGCCCATTCGAACACCATTCTAACATACTTCCTTGGAAAGAAACTGGCGCTACAGTAAGTATGATCACAATATAACCAAAACAAACTATTATGTGACTATAAAAGCCCCAATATTTGTCTGACTACCAAAACGCTGCCATATCCACACAAATTCTCCTGCATTGGTTTAGCTCATTCAAAAAATTTTATTATTTCAAATATAATTATTTTTTACGTGATTTTTTTTATATAATTATTTTTATTTATAATAATTTAATATTGACTTTTTTTTAGGTGATTCGAATTAAACGTACAAGCAAAGGCCTTCTTGACATGAACGATCTGAAAGCCCAGCTTGAATTCTGCTCCGTCAATTTCACCGACGTAATTGGTTGTTTTTCCGCCGCTTCTAACGTAACCGGAATCCTCACAGATACAAATGCAGTCTCTGCGTTATTACATCATTACGGAGCTCTCGCGTGCTGGGACTACGCAACTGCAGGTAAGATATTGTTTTGTTACGTGTTATTCTTTAAATAATTTACAAATGAATTAAGTTTTTCGTTATAATGACTATTTTAGAAAACAATACATTTAATGTATTAACAATAAATTAGGTTTACTGCGTAGCATTAACACGTTATTTGATAATATCTTTTTCTCTCCTTATAGCACCGTATGTAAATATCGACATGAACCCAAAATGTGAAACGTAAGTAAAATAAGACATTTTTATCGGTTAGGATAAATTGATTCAGTTGTTAATGGACTAATTGCTTCTATAGGCCTATTTTAAATACTTTTTTTAAGTTAACAGTATGTGCCAACACTATAAAAACTGAAAAAACATATAAAAATCAAGTTTATCTTATTTGATTCAAAAAGGTGTGATTGTGACTGTTCAAAAGACGCAGTTTTCATCTCTGTCCATAAATTCTTAGGAGGACCCGGTTCGCCAGGATTATTAATTGCCAAAAAACACCTCTTCCAAAATAAAGTTCCTGCAGGAGCTGGGGGCGGCACAGTCCATTACGTGAGTACCGAAACATGAACTATTTGTTTTTACTTGGAGCTTTAATGTTAATAACATTTTTAGTGAAAGACCAGTTTTCTTTTTCGAATAGTTTTACTTTTAATATGTAAGAGATATATTTTTTATGTGCGTTTTTAGCTAATAAACGAGGTTTTCGTATTTTGACAGGTTTCAAGGAATATGCACCACTATGTATCAGACATTGAAGCCCGGGAGGAAGGCGGTACGCCCGCAATTATCGAATCGATCAGAGCTGGTTTGGTGTTTCAGTTAAAACAAAAAATTGGTCCACATTACATCGAACGACGTGAGGCAGAGTTAACAAGGTACATTGAAGTTGTCTGATTATTGTATTTTTGTTGCACAATTAGCAGTGTATACTTGCATTGTATGGTAATACAGTATTTATAAACACAATGCGTTTAATATTATCACAGTGCGAGGGTATTATATTTTTGCCACATCATTGCATATACATGAGTTAATAATGAACAAATTGGTCTCTATATGTGGACTACAGTATTATATAAATATATAAATATGTATATAAAATATAGATCTATATATAATGCCTATATTTATAATATACAAATGTATATATACATATATATACATTTATATGTATGTATACATACATTTATATATTATAAATATAGGCATATATATAGTTCTATATTATATATATATATACTATATATATATATATATATATAT